CAGGGGTTAGGGCTGTTGTACATAGGGTCGCTATGAATCGCAAACGACTTGGCACATAACAACAACAACACTCAGGAGGGACTAGTCTCTGGAAAAGAACCTCATATCTGGTAGAGATGAGGGTCATTAAAAAAAAAAAGATTTTCCATCAGATGGATCGGCACAGTAACTGCAAAAGTGGAGTTTCTATGAGTTGGAACCAACTTAATGGCTCCTATTCACAACATTAGAGGACAGTCCAGACTTGCTAGTAATTTTGGTAGATAGGGTTATGTTAAAAAACTGTTCTTAACTTACAGAGCTGTAAGCTATCACATTAAGGGTATAAAATATTTCAAGGTGTGGCAACTGTTTTAAAATATTTCAACAAAGAAATCAACAATGAGATAAATCATAAAATGCTAAATTTAAGTGATGGACATTTGAAAGTATATTATTCCCTACACACACACACACACACACACACACACGGAAAAAATCTAATAAAATACTCAGTGCATCCATGGAATCCTAATAAGTCATAATAAACTCCAGTGAATCAAAGGGCATCCTTGTGGCAAAACAGTTAAGCACTCAGCTTAACTATGAGAGATAGTCTGGCAATCTGAAACACCCATTGGCTATGTTAAAGAAAGACCTGGTCAGGTGCTTCTATAAAGCTCACAACTTAGAAGATCATATATGGGGGAGTTCTACTCTGTGGCATGATGTCACCACCAGGAGAAAATTGACTCTGCAGCACCTAACAACATTACTTGAGTCAAGAAGAAGGAAATGATCCATGCCCAGAATATCTTGAGCTCAGAAAGACATCTGAGAAAATCTTTCATATTGTCTTTGTGGGACAAATTATGGACGCAGGATTGTACTGGAAAACCATACAAATTTCCCATAAAGGAACTGGCATTAGGGTGGTCAGGGAGGGGACTGAGAAAGCTGCAGAGCTACACTGAAGACCCTGAGGAGACAGGCAGGCCCAGCATCTGAGGAATTGATGAACTCATGGATACTGTACAGAAATCAAAAGGAAGATGAATTCACCCACTCCTCATTTAAGGAAGAGTCCTTAAAAGAGCTCTGGTGGTGTAGTCCATAGGGACTTGTTTCTCTCTGGCAGTTCAAATCCACGAGTGGCTTCATAGTAGAAAGATGAGAAATCTCTTCCTGTGCGATTTACAGTCTCTCAAAAACTCACTGGAGGGCCAGCTATTAGTTCTGATTCAAAAGTAATGAGTTTATATTGTGGATTACTCTTTCAACTTCTATTTCTAACCAGCAAGTATCATACAGGTGAGGATACTAGTCTTTTAGGTTAACCTCAATCACTGCAAATTTTGGATGATTATAGAGATTGTTTCACAAAAATCCTTTGTTGTTGTTTGCTGTGGAGCAGGAACTGGCCCATAGATGACCCTCCAGTGGGTTTTTAAAGGCAATAAATCACATGGGAGGTGACTCCTCGTCTGTCTTCTGCGGAGCCAGCTAGTCGATTAGAATAGTGTGTCCTTAGGATGGCAGCACAGCTTCTTACCACTAGAATATATAATGCTGTAATCATTCTTAGTTATGAATTGAAAGTACAAGTACTGGATGTGGGTTTTAGTAACTGTTTAATATTAAAAATAATTTAAAATTTCAGATATATAGCCTCTTTGTAGAGATTAGACAAATTTACTTAAATGTTTTTGTTGTTAGATGCCATTGACTCATTGTGATCCTATGAACAACAGATCTGAACCTTGTCCTATCCTGTGCCATCCTTATACTTTTTGACACAATTGAGCCCACTGCCAGTCATTGTTGCAATGATCATCTCACTGAGTGCCTTTCTCTCTTTTGCCAACCCTCTACCTTTCCAAGCAATTCCCTTGTAAGAGGTAAGGAAATAAGTATTTGTGATTGAGGATACTATTGTTAGAAAGAGTATCACACAAGGATTTGAGAGCTGTTATCTCTGGGGTGAAGGTAAGGCACACTGTCATTCTCCACTTTTTTTTTTAAACCAATTCTGCCACCAGTTCTTCACTCCCACAGTTTCTCTGCTGGTGCTGAGAATTCACTGTAACGGTCACAAAGAACTCATGTATTATTCTCAAAATTATGGAGTTTATTGGGGAAGGAGTAGACCAGGAACAACTCAGGATACAGTTTTTCAATCAGGACAGCTGTATTTCTGACCCTGGCAAGTATTACACTGTTGTAGCAAGTGTTAGAGCTTTACAGCTCTGCTAACTAGTGTCCAGAGGTGCCCAACTCATCAGCAAACTTCCTGCCTGAAGTCTGACTCAGCTCTCTGACTCCAAAGGTTGGCATGCTCACTGTAGCAGCCTTGCTTTGTGGACCGGGAAGCCCACCTTACTGTCCTGTGTTAGTCTCATGGTTCTTGGTGCTGCTGTTGCTTGTGCTGTACTCTCTTTTGTTGCCTTCAGTGTTACAGCCCTCCATCTCCTTGTCTAGGAAGTTCTCATTATAGGTACTCCAGGTTGAAAGGATGTACTCGACTTCTGGATCTTAACCTTGATGGTAGGGAGTTCACCCTTTCTAGCCTTTGGATTGTTGCTGTTGTTGTTAACGTGCCATCGAGAGTCGCTGTGACTCATAGCGACCCTATGTACAACAGCCCTAAACTCTGCTCTGTCCTGTGCCAATCGCCCCTTTTAAACCTAGAAGGACAGCAAAACTGACCTGGCAAAACAGACTAATTTCCTCACTAGTATTCCATATGCCTTATGGTTTCATCTTTATAACGACGCTATGTGACTTATTTGCATTATTAGAAAATTGCTCAACTGTCTTGGGGAGCTATAAGCATCTTTTTTTTTTTTTTGTATGTTGGTACTATGTGCCATTGGGATGGAACCCACTCATAACTGACTCTCCAGTGTGTTTAAAGAGGTGGTAAATATCAGGAGACTGCCTATTTTTTTCCCCCCAGTGGAACAGCTAATGGATTTTGAGTCATGTACCATGGACTCAAGAAAAGAAATAATTCTGTCTTAGAGAGGGTGAAACCAGGTTTCTTCTTGAAGGCTAGGGTTTTACAGTTATATAAATACTTTGGGCATGTAGCCAGGAGGGATCAGCCCTTAACAGAGAATATCATGGTTGGAAAGGTGAAGAGGAAGACCCTGGAGGAGAAGGATTGATACAGTAATTGGGTAATGAAGGTAGATTTGTTGGAGTCAATGAGACTGATTAAGACTAGGGCAGACTTCAGAGCTGTTGTACATAGGGTTGCTATGAGTCACAGGCGACTTGGCGGCACATGTACATTGGTCAGCAGCACAGCTCCTTACCACTAGACCAGCAGAGCTCTCTTTGCCCTTCAATACAGTCCCATCTAGTCATTTTGTAAGAGTCAGAAGGTCACAGCCAGAAAGACCATATTAAGTAATCCAATACATTATGAAATCTAAAGATACCGTACGCAAAAACCAGTTTAGATAAAATGAATTAGGTATGCTTTGGAAAATGTATTATGTAACAAAAAAAGTGACTCTAATGATGACCAATGTTCTAATGTCAGAGATAGATATGAAAGGTTTCAACAAATACTGCTTTGCAAAATAGAAGAGACAAATTCGTTTAAGAGAGGTGAGAGTGTCTAAGAGGTAGGATAACAAAAGAAGTGAGAGACCTGGGGACAAATTAGTTTGAAGAAGATAAAACTTACAGGGTATGTGACCTACAGTTTAAGGCTAAATGCATACACTAAATAATAATAAAGAAATAAATAATAAGTAAATGATAAAAAATAATAAATGATAAAAAATAATAAATAAAATTAAATAAAGATTAAAATAAATAATAAGGCTAAATGTATAAACTGCATCCAAGTATGTGAAGAGTAGTTGTGTGGAATATTTAAGTTGATTTACTGTGTAGTTTTATACTGCAGAAATTAAATCAATGAGGGGCAGTTCTAAGGAGGTAGAGTTTTGCTTAGTATAAGTAAGGACTTTATATCACTTATATCGGACAAACAACGAGCTTCAAAATTCATGGATGAGTAAATCTTTCTCACCAATTGTAAAGAAAGGAAGGTAAATTATCTTTATGGCCATTCCAATGATCAGATTCTATTATCTTATAAAGTGAAATCATCTTCAAACTAACAAATTCAGGATGATAATGCCATTTACTTTTTGAAGACATGCTTTTCATTTATTATCTATCTACTAAGCAGTCATTCTACATCTTTATATTAGGTGCTATGACTATAAAAATATATAAAAGACACACTCTCTGATGAACAGACGTTTATTACCAAGAAAGGTAAGATAATGTGTACATGTATGACAAGTACCACACACACTAGCATATACTATACTCTGTACAATGTACCATTCCTTGGCTGAATCTCTGTCACAAGGTTAAACAAGTAAGTAATGAGAGCATCATTGCCCCATCTCTATATGAGGCCTATCCAAGAGTAAAACTGATTAATTCATAGTGAAAACATGAGTTAAATATTTTGGCTTTGTTCTAAAATCTTCCTTAGCTTGAACACAAGACAAAAGGATTTTGTTGTCCCAATTTCCCAGCTAGTTCTCTTAAATCTTCTCAAATGCTATCATATATGTACAAAGAACAGTGTGAATTATCCAATAGGCCTTACAAATGTGATACAGAGTAGAGCAACACTGGAAAGATATACAACCTTTGGTTATAAAAGTCTTTTTATCTTTGATCACAAGGTTGGTCAACAGAATGAATTCATCAGCTTAAATGCAACCCAAACAATTTCAGAAATGTACATACAATAAAACACAACTGTGTGCTATATCATGATACCACATATAATCGATGAAGATATTATTGCCTTATAGGGATATTCAAAGCTATGAATACAGAGGAAAACAGTGAAATAAAATAAAAGCATTTGTTGAAATCACCATGAACAACTGAAAAATCACGAAGTGGGACTTGCATAAATCCTTGCAGTCTTTCCTTAAATATTATGAATATAAATTTTCTCAGTTCCAACCTGAGAAACTGACCTGAGATTGCTGAAAAAGGATGCTTTTCTCTGGGTTTATGCCACAGGCCAGCAGAACTGCAGTCATGTCTAGGATGCCCTGCCGAAGGGTTGCTGGGTCTTGTGCAACAGTGATGGAATGTAGGTCAACAATGCTGTAGAGCACAGAGTCATACTCATCTTGCAACCTCACCCAGTTCTCAATGGCGCCCAGGTAATTGCCCAGGTGGGGGATTCCTGTAGGCTGGATGCCAGAAAATATTCGCTCCGTGCCATCTTTCTGGAACAAAGGAAAACAAATTTATTTGCCTTCAAATCTGAATCTATGAATCCAATAGACAATATTACTGTAGTTATGACAATAGTCCTTTTTAAAAAAAATATTTTATATTCATTTGCATACAAAGTTGGTATACTTTGTCTTTCACACTGTCCTTCATTTACATTGTATTTCATGCAATCATTCCCATTCATTATATTCTATAAATCATCAATGAACTATGCCCACCATTACCGTGTCTTTCCAGATCCCTACCAGCACTTTCCCATTTCCTTTACCTTTTCTCCCTCTGATAGTCATCATCATTATACTTTTATTTTGTGTCTAGTCTATCCAAAGCACTCCATTAGAAACTATTTGAGACAGAAAATGATATAAAAATATTGTTCTGTTCTAGCACCCAAAAGCTTACACATACAAATCCATGAAAGAAAAGGTTTGCATCTCCAAAAGATTATAATCCCATTGGTGAAAGAAGACAAGTTTCTGAAAGAATAAGTAATATGATGCACCAATATGATCACCAATATGATCATGATAAAAACTTGGAAAGAGCAACAGAAGCATACAAGCAGAAATCCCTAAGAGGAAAAGGTAACTGTAGTCCAAGCAGTTGGTGAGAAAGACTTCAGACATGAAATCAGACTTCATTAGAGACTAAGGGGCATAAAAAATTTTTCATATGATTTCATTTATTTTATAGTTGAGGAAATGATGTCTACAACAATGGTAACCAGAAGTTAGTACAATTTATGTAATTCTGGTTTTGTAAAAAAAATTCTGATACTACCACAAAAAGATAAGGGTAAATAACTCAATTGAAAAATGGGCATAGGATATGAACAGACACTTCACCAGAGAAGACATTCAAAAGGCCAATAAGCACATGAAGAAATCTTTAAAATCCCTAGCTGTAAGAGAGATGCAAATCAAAACAACTATGAGATATCATCTCAACCCAGCCAGAATAGCAAAATCTAACAGAACAGCAAGCCACAAATGCTGGTGAGGTTGTGGAGAAATTGGAACCCTTATTCACTGTTGGTGGGAGTGTAAAATGGTGCAACCACTGTGGAAGATGGTGTGGCGCTTTCTCAAAAAGTTACAACTAGAGATACCATTTGACCCAGCAATTCCACTACTGGGAATATACCCCCAAAAGACCATAACCAACATCCAAGCATATATATGCACATCCATGTTCATCACAGCTTTGTTCACAATAGCAAGGAGTTGGAAATAACCCAAGTGCCCATCAACAAATGAATGGACAGAGAAGCTGTGGTATATTCATACAATGGAATACTATGCTGTATTGAAAAACAAGGAACTCATGCAATATTATTCAAAATGGGTGACCCTGGAGGACATTGTGCTGAGTAAAATATCTCAGTCACAAAGGGACAAATACTACATGATGCCACTGTTGTAGAATGGGACTGACATCACGGTTGGGGTAAGACTGAGAAAAACTGGATAAATTGTGTATACTGCATTGAAACAGATGAGGGAGAGAACAATTTAAAAGTGGTCAGGTATTATGGTTATCACAAGAGTCAAGAATTAAGGCTGCATAGTGGAGTGTACTTGGGACAGTGGGAGGGGTGCAGGGGGATTGTATACCAAAGAAACAATTTTTCTTTTACATTTCGAAGAGAGGAATGAACTGAGGGGGGAGGGCTGGGCAGGAAGAAAAGTGCAACAATGGAAATCGAAAATCTCTGTAAATGTGCATTAAAATTAATAAAATAAAATTTAAAAAAAATGCTGATACTGTATTTTAGAATGTAGGATCTTGGCCTAGATATTAGGAAACCTAGAGACCTGTCCAGACCTGGGAATTACAGTATAGCCTCAAGCAAAAATCTTTCTCTGAAGTTGGTACATGGGTTTTGGACTTACATCCTCCTAAGTAAGAGATGGAAAACAGCATGAGAAACCAGTTGAGCTGTGTAGTTCAAGGCATCACAGCGACTGGTGATCATTTTGAGAGGTAGCTGGGGAAAGGAGGGCTTGAACAGGTAGCTGGGTGTGAAAGGAATTGAGGAGGTGGCGGGGAAAGGGTAGAGACAAGTCATATGTGCTTGGGGTGCGTGGGCAGTGAATGCATTAGCTATTTTTGTAAGGGGAGTGTCTTTCACCTGCTAGGTAAAAATACTTGTCTGTCAAATATTTAAGCATCCAAATTAGGACAGACTAGGAAGATGGATTGGCCATCCACTTCTGAAATATGACTGGCCTTTCAAAACCCTATGTACAGCAAAGCACACTTAGAGTAGACTAACAGTTATGGCAACTGAAGTTGAGCCTTCAAATTTGGAAATACAAAGGAGGAGAAACAGTTGTAAAAAGAAGTTAACAACTGGTATGTGGAATGTGAGAAGCATGAATGTAGGAAAACAGGACATTGTAAAGAAAGAAGTGGAACGCATAAATATTGACATATTGGGTATTAGTGAAATGGGATGGGCTGGCACGGGACGTTTTGAATCCCATGATCATATGACCTATTATGCTGATATGAAAAGGTGAGAAAACACAGGGTTGCATTCATAAACAAAAAGGCCATTTCGAGATCCATCTTGAAATAGAGTATTGTGAGTGACAGGATAATATACATGCATACAAGGAAGACTTGTTAATACCATTATCATTCAAATTTATGCACCTACAACCAGAGCCAAAGAGGAGGAAACAGATTATTTTTATCAACTGTTGCAGTCAGAAATCGATCAAACAGGTAACCAAGATGCTTTAATAACAACAGGTAACTGGAATGCTAAAGTCGGGAATCAAGAAGAAGAATCAGTCAAAAAAGACAGAGTTGGTGATAGAAATGGGGCTAGGGATAGAATGATAGAATTCTGTACAATCAATTATTTATTCATAGCAAAAACCTTTTATAAGAAACATATACACAGGCTATACACATGGAATTCACCTGATGGGATGAACAGGAATCAGACTGACTACATCTGTGGAAGGAACTGTTGGAGAAGTTCAGTATCAACAGTAAAAACTAGGCCAGGTGCTAATGTGGAAAAAATCATCAACTGCTCATATGCAAGTTCAAATTAAAACTAAAGAAGGTTAAATAATATCCACAGGAATAAAAATTTGACCTTCAGTCTGTCTCCCATGAATTTAGAAACCAACTCAGAAATAGGCTTGAAGCCTTGAATACTAATGAACAAAGACCAGATGAGCTGTGGGAGGATATCAAGAATACTGTTCATGAAGAATGCAAAAGTCACTATTAAAAACAAAGAAGAAAAGACCAAAACGGACGTCAGAAGAGACTGAATATTGCACTAGAGTGCTGAGACGCCAAAGCATAGGGAAGAAATCAAGAAGTTAAGGAGCTGAATAGAAGATTTCAAAGGGCTGCTTGGGAAGACAAGGCAAAAATATTATAATGAAATGTAGAAGGAGCTGGAGTCAGAAAATCAAAAGAGCTGGACTCACTCAGCATTTCTTAAGCTGAAAGAACTAAAGAATAAATTCAAGCCAGGAGTTGCAATGCTTAAAGGATGTTATGGGCAGGATATTAAATGATTCAAGAAGCATTAAAAGCAGATGGAAGGAGTATACAGTCATTGTACCAAAAATATTTGGCTGACACAGAAGAATTTCAAGAAACACCATAAGAGCATGAGGCAATGTTGATAAAGGAGATAAAGGAGGAAGTGCAGGCTGCTCTGAAGGACTTGGCAAAATATAAAGCCTCAGGAATTCATGGAATACCAGTTGACCTATTTCAATAAAGAGATGCTGCCCTGGATGTGCTCACCAAGTTGTACCAAACAATTTGGAGAACAACTTCTTGGCCAATGGACTAGAAGAGATACATATTTGTCTCCATTCCAAAAAAAGGTGACCTGACAGAGTGTGGAAATTAACGAACAACATCACTAATATCACACACTAGCAAAATCCTGCTGAAGATTATCCAGAAAAGACTTGAACAGTACATTGACAGAGAACTACAAGAAATACAAACTGGATTTAGAAGAGGTCGTGGCACTAGGGACATTATTGTCAATCTTGGCAGATGGATCTTGGCAGAAAGCAGAGAGTATCAGAAGAATGTCTATCTGTGTTTCATTGACTATGCAAAGGCATTTGACTGTTTGGATCACAATAAATTGGGGCTAACCTTGGGGAAAATGGAAATCTCAGAGCACTTGATCATGCTTATATGAAATCAATACTTGGACCAAGAAGCAGTCCTCAGAACGAAGCAAGGAAATCCTGCATAGTTCAAATTCAGGAAAGGAGTGTGTCAGGGATGCATCCTGTCCTGTACCTGTATGCAGAACAGATCATCTGGGAAGTAGGGCTTTATGAGGAGGAGTATGGTATCAGGATTGGAGGAAGACTTTTTTTTTCTTTTCTGCCGAGCCGCTCGAGGTTAAAAGGGCTGCTTGCAGCGGGCTGGGGCCCCAGTTATGCGTGAACTCAAGTTCTTGCACTGCAGCTTAATCCCTGGCACCACGTGAAGGAAGACTCTTAACAACCTAAGATGTGCAGATGACACAACCTTGCTCGCTGTATCTGAGGAGGACCTGAAGCACTTGCTGCAAAAGGTCACGGACTGGAGTCCTCAATATTAACTGAAGCTCAACATCAAGAAGACAAAGATTCTCACCATGGGTCCAATTGGCAGCACCATAAAAGATGGAGATTGAGGTTGTTAACAATTACAGCTTGCTTGGATACACAATCAACACTCTTAACACCAGCAGTCAGGAAATCAAAAGATGAATTGCATTAGGAAAATCTGCTATCATGGACCTCTCCAGAGTATTGAAGAGCAATGATGTCAGTCTGGATACAAAGGTGCACCTGATCCAGGCCATGATTTTCTCAATTACATGTTATGCTCAGAGAGTTGGACAATGACTAAAGATAAGAGAAGAAGAATAGATACCTTTGAGTTGTGGTGCTAGAGAAGAGTCTTGAACATACCATCGACAGATGAATAAGTCTGTCTTGGAGAG